AAATATATATAATAATATTAAATAAAAAATCTAAACTAATCGTGTGAAAACAAATCTCTGAGAATGCTTCCCTTGCTATGTAGGGAGGCATATCATTAACCTTTTCTGCTCTATTTCTTTATGCGCAAGCTTCTGCATTACCATTTTATATTTGAATTGATATTTATCAGTTGAGTTGTCTTTTAATTTATTAATACCTCTGAATAATATGTTGTAGAATGCTTTTAATATTGTAGTTATTTGTTTTCTTGAGTATAATTCTGTACTTAAACTAGTCAGAAGTCAGGACAAACAGTTTTTGTTTCCTTCTTTACTGAAAAAATTTTCAGACGTTTTATTATCTTTTCAGGTAAAAACTGCAGATCCACATCTTTCAGATGAAAACCAAGCAAGCAAATCCTATGAAGCAAAAGCTTATTCATCATTAAGTCAGAGTTATCTATATATTGACTGGGCTTCAAACCACAAAATAGTAGAAGTAGGGGATTTCATAAATATTAATGTATATCCACATAGTCAGTATGTTAATAAAATACATCAGTACAGCTATTTGGTAAGTAACAGATGTTTCCACATAAAATATGGAATTCTGATTTAATATATTGTCGTAGATGAAAACCTCAACAATCAAGAACTATCCTCAGCATAAAATACATGCTCCTTCCATATACAATGTCAGTCTTATAATAAAAAATTTTAACGGTCTCATGTTTACATTATACATTAAGTCTCCATTGTTTTGAGTTCTCATCTGACGTAGACTGTGATTAAGAACAAATAGTGCTAGTCTGAAGAGGTATTTCAGGACTTGAAATAGAGAGGAAGAGAAAGATGTGGAGCGATAGCACTTCTTAGGGGATAAGCGAGAGAGCTACCTTCCCCTGAGCTAGACCTACTGGTTCCTAGTGCATTTTTGTGTGTCTTGGATTGTATCTACATGCAAGTAATTACTCCATGTGAGAAACATATTAAATATAAAATGTGACTTCTTTATTCCCCATCATTTTTCTATTATAGATCATCTCAAAAGGGAAGATAGTAAGCTTTGGAACTCAGAAGAGAATTAAGGATTTGGAATATGAACATCTAACTTTTCAGATAACCCAAGAAATGGTTCCTTCAGCACGTCTTATTGTTTACTACATAGTCATGGGAGAAGAAACTGCTGAGTTAGTAGCTGATTCAGTTTGGCTGAATGTGGAACAGAAGTGTGGGAATAGTCTTGATGTGAGTAGCAAAATAAGCACTAAAATTTGTGGGTATGCATTCATTTTATGATCAGATTTTATCTTGGAATCACACAAGTTCTTTAACACTTCTTAAAGTGTCTGCCGCCAGATGCATTTATTTTGGAACAATGTGCTTTCAAAATTACCAATTTTTTTTTTCAATTTATAGCTTAAGCTGCAATCAAGCAAAGAGATACTGAATCCAGCAGAAGTTGTATCGCTGAACATGAAAACACAATTCAGTTCCTTTGTTGCTTTGTCATCTATTGACAAGGCAGTATATGGAGTCACAGGAAGAGGAAAGAGAGCAATGGAAAAAGTTAAGTAGTAGCCACAAAAGAGAAACACGTTGCTATTGTGTGTTGTGAGGATATCTTCCAGACTAAAGTGGCCTTTCTGCAAGTCTAGCTGTCTCATTCATCATGTGATACGTTCCACATTTTAGTTAGCTGCTGCTGTGTTTTTCCTCAGATAATGCTACATTTGGAAAAGAGTGACCTTGGGTGTGGCGCTGGAGGAGGACGGAACAACGTTGATGTCTTCCGAATGGCTGGGCTTACATTTTTAACTAATGCAAATGCTGATGATTCAAATGAAGCAGGTATATTCCTTCATTTTAAGCATAAAATTGTGTATTTTCTTTTCTGAAATATTCTACTATGACTCTTGGTTACTATGTTGGAACTTACTTAAATTAATAGGGAATGCATACACTAATTACTTTTGAGGGAGGAAAACATTATGACTTGTGTATCAGTTACAGTAATTGAAATGAAAATACTTTTATGTAATTAAAATAGTAAATAGAAAAAGTGTCCCAAATTTGGAATGTGGTTTTATGGAATTATTTTTAAGTGGGGTATGCTGTTACAAAAAAGGTCATGTCTTTTGTACTTATTTATTTTTTGAACAGGTGAAACTTGCAATGAAGTTTTAAGAACCAAACGTTCTGACTTCAAGGAGCGGATACTCAAAGAAGGTGTTAAGTGTTTGCGTGCTACTTTTAATTATTGTTGTTAACTTAATGTAGTGGAGAGAGAGACTGGCAATTATGGAAGATGACTTTAAAGAGGACCCTATTTATAAAGCCTCTTAGCCTTATGCTGAGTTTGAAGTTGGCAAGATTTACGTACACAGTGAAAATACAGCATACATTTAAGACCTTTTCTTTTTCTGAAGAGACCTAGATTGCAAACTCACAGTACTACCATATGGCAGTCTTTCCCCATGACCACCTGGCAGGGACCAAGCCTGTCAGAAGAACCTTTGACAGTTAAATCTTAAAATGTAATACAACTCCTCTTACCTAATTTATATTTTTAACTCAGAATAGTAGTTATTAAGTGTGTGTCACTAGCTTTTGAAAAATGAAAAGTTCATGTTCATCCCTAAATGCGTACCTTCATTGAAATTCAGCAAATTTTTAAAAAAGTTCAGTGTAATGAGCTAAGATGCATTTGGAAATAAAAACTTCATCTCAAGGAAGGGAGCTATTTTATTATTTTTTTCAGCATCCAAATACGTACATCCAGAAATTCGGAAATGCTGCATGGCTGGAGTAAAAGCATATCCAGTCTCTGAGACTTGCAGCGATAGAGCTCAGCGAATTCGGAGTAGCGAAAAGTGCATTTCTGCATTCAGAGATTGCTGTGAATTTGCAAACAGACTGAGGGAGGAGGAGCCTAATAAGCTTCTAATATTGGCAAGAATGCGTAAGTACAAGAGCTTTAACTCTCCCATGGATGTGTAGTGAAACACTTCCAGGAAAATATGGGTAAATATAGAGGTGATAGCTTTGTTAATCTACTAACCCCTCCCTATTGTCTGTGAGGGTTATTTCAGGAAGAATTTTACCAGTCTCCAAAGACCTTGGTTGTATACCCCTAAAGAGGGGAGGAGATCAGCTCGTTATTCTAAGAGATATCTTCTTTTCACCCGTACTTAGAACAAGCAGAACTGCTACAAGAGATCATTATTGCCTCTGAAGGCAATGCTAAACTTGAATTCTAAATTTGAATCCTTTGCCCAGACCCAGAACAGCCAATTGGTAACATCTCAGGAAAGATTGGTGGGAGTGTGAAATTTCTTGTCTCCCATACTCTCCCTATAATTGCTTGTCCTTGCTGTGCAGGTATTGGATTGGTATTCACATGTGTGAATAGGTCAGGTGGGATTAACACAAACTTTTGATTGAGGGAATTGAGATACCTTTTTTCTTTTATCAGGACTAACCTGAGTCAAGTGAGCAGAATAGAGTATCACAAAAGAAAAATATAATGATTTTGAAGCCTTTGGTGGAAGGCCGTTGGCAGGTGGTTTGGGTTTCTTTTTTTATTTTCTTTATTTCTGTTCTTCAGATTTTGAGGCTTTCTTGGAACTAGATGAGGCAGAAGTTCGTAGCTACTTCCCTGAAAGCTGGTTATGGGAAGTTCACCAAGTTTCCCCAAGGTACTACTTTTCTGAAATCAGTTACCAACTTAGTCATCAGTTTTCTAGAAAGTAAATGCTAAAACTGAGGTGAGCTGGGTAGCCTTAGTTGTTCCCAAGATGTGTGCTAAAATGCAGCCTTATACAAACAAACTCTTCCTGCCATGTGTTCCTCCATGCAGGATGTGCTGCCTGGTGCCCAGATCATTGAGTCACTTTTCCTTTCACTTTCGACCTTGCTAAACACCAGCTTCTGTAAAGTCAGCTAAAACCAAGTATATTCAAACAAAAATCCAGAAGCTGTGTTTTCTAAATGTGCTCTCATATCTTGTCTTACCTAAGACTCTCAGATACAGGAGCTGCTCTGGGCATGTACTGTCTTTGGGTCAATTAGCTGTTGGTGTTACCAGATGGCTATTGATAATGCATAAACACTTCTAAACACAGGTCAAAGACTCTGTCTGTCACCTTGCCTGATTCGCTGACCACGTGGGAAATACAAGGTGTTGGCATTTCTGATAAAGGTAGGTGCTGCAACCTGATTAGATTGTAGCTAAGGAATTAGGGAGCTTTTCCATTTGGATTTTGCAGTACCTCTCATTGCAGTTGACACATATGTTCCAAAATGTTCATTTTCTGCTAGATAAACAGGAAAAGAAAGCATCAAAATATGTATTTTAGGAAAAGGAAATTACTTAGTTTCTTGGTATAATTCTAAGTGTCTGGGAAAACAAAGCCTATTTGTGTTTGGCAGTGGCCCATAATAAATGTCTAAGAATAAAAGAATAACTAGTGAGTGACTCTTCCCTGGCACAGCTTCACAGTCTCCTGCTATCAATAGCTGAGGGACTTGAGGAGAGGAAGAAACAAATTTTCTGATAGATATGGTAGTCCAAACAGAAAATTTGTTTCTCACTTTGGGAAGAAGGAGAAGCAGCCCAAAGTACTGATATGTCAGCAAGTGTGTGTGAAGGGTGGGAGAGAGCAACTTGGAACAGGAAGCAAGAGCCTGGTGACTTTTAAAAAAGCTTGAACAGCTTCAAAGCCCATAGTGAAAAATGATAAGTGACCAGTAAAGGTGGCAAGCACGTGAAGACTTCTTCAAACTTGTTTATCAGAATGGTGGATAAGATAGCCTGCTTTTGTGTTTTGAATTTTCTTAGGTATATGTGTTGCTGCGCCATTGGAAGTGCAAGTTGTAAAAGATCTCTTCCTGAGCGTTTATGTTCCTTATTCTGTGGTGCGAGGGGAACAAATAGAGTTAAAAGGATCAGTTTATAACCATAGAGCCACGGCAATTAAGGTAATTTGTCTTAGTGAGTTCTACAGAGAGATTCACATAATCAACTAAAAAAGCATTTCCCCTGGGAGTATCCAGTACAAACAAATCCTTGGATCAGATTTCTCCAGTTCTTCAGCTAGTGTTACCTATGCTCTGTGTAACTATGTAACAATTAAATCCAGTCGTTAATTGTTTCATTTCCAGCCATTCCACTGATTACAATGTTGTCATGCTCTTCCCTAGCAACTTTGCCTCATGAAAGTTACACAATTTTTCTGTTCCAATTGTTTGGACACAGTGCCAAAAACTGATGGGACTTCTCGAATTACCTGCTCCAGGGCTCGCAGATTACATTGTCTAGGGATTTAATATAAAAGGACTAGTTTTAAGGCTGTACATTCAAACAGAAATGCGAAATTGTTATTGAAGAAACCTGAGTATAGCATGCAGAGGTGTGTGTATGAAGCAGGTTTGTGTATGAGGCCCAGGATGGTGGTTCCCTGGTGTTGCTCATGAACATTGGTTAGTGTGTCTCTGGTGCACGTAATAGTAGTTGCAAAGTTAGTAACACCTGCTCATTGTAAACAGAAAAGTAGTATTGCAGTCATAGAATGTTCATTATAGTATTTCAGTGGCTTTAATATTTCTCTGGTGTTGTCCCTGTCATGAAAGTAAAAGATTTAAAATCTTTCAACATTTCAGTTCTGTGTTAAAATAGCAGCTGGAAACGGAATCTGTTCTTTTGGAGATTCTGCAACTACTGGATCGAGGATGCGCCATTGTAATTTTAAGAATCTAGATGCTGGTTCTTCATCACCAGTTACGTTCAGAATACTTCCTTTGGAATTAGGACTGCACACTGTCAACTTCACGTTGCTGACGGCCAGGAACAGTGAAACTGTAGTTAAAACATTACGCGTGATGGTAAGAAAAAAAAATCAAAATGTTTGGAGTGTTTTTGAATTTCATATTGATTCAGCCACAAGAAATAAAAATATATTAAATCAATAGATAAATATTGCTTTATTTTAATATTATCAGAATCCAAAATATCACATGATATCACTTATTTCACAGAGGGGCATGCAGTGGAAAAAAGCATGACTGAGTATTTGAGTGTGCACATTTTTAAACCTTGCATGTAAGAATTGTCAGAAAGATTAGATCGACAGATAAATTATAACTTAGTGAGCAAGGAGAACACTGTATTCTAAATCACTTGGTTCAGGTTTGCAACTGCTTAAGTATGCCTCATCAAAAGACACTTTTTTGTCATTTTATAATTTCATAAGCTTTTATTTAAATATTTTGTTAAATTTTCTCAATCATTTTGGGAGATAGAACACTAGTTTAAGTGTATGCAGAATAGATGTAGAACTGTTAAGTAAAACTCAACTACAGAAAAGGATGTAGAATACAAAAATACTGTTGTTTCAGCTGATGTATTTTATTAAGGAAAAGTGGTTTAATTTCTACTTCTTTCCTCTTAATGATTTCAGCCAGAAGGCATTAAGAAAGAACTCCATGCAGGTTTCACTTTGGATCCACAGGGTGTTTATGGTAAGAGAATTGATTGTATAATGTCTTTATTTATTTTTTCATCTTCTTGACTCATGATGATAAAGTTTTCTGTAATGTGAAAAAATTGGCATTTCTCCTTCCTGAAGTATTCTTCATATGTCCTTTCCAAGGATTTCCTTTTCTGTCACTGGCTAACAAACCCATCTCAAAATAGCTAGTCTTTCAAAAAAATACTTAGATTCATTTCTTAAAGGAACCTTTATACATATCTTTTACTATGATATAATACTAAACTTTTGTCAGTGTGCTTGAAAACCAGTTAGTAGGTGCTTTATTAATGAAAATAGAATATATTCTAATTTAATCAGAGATGAATCTGAAACCACCGCAAAGTTTAGGTCCAGATCAGATTATTTTCCTAACAAAAAAGTCAAAAGAAAGGTTGAAGTGCTTGCATGTGTTCTTTTTCAAAGGATGATATAGTTTGCACGTGCATTTGGGAACATTTCGAGTTTTCATGTTATCATAGGTACTTTTGTTGCTGACTTCTCAGATAGCTGTGACCTTTAGATCTGGCTATCACATCTGTATCATGTATTGATTTAGATTGTGCGGTATGATATATATCCACTTTCAATTGTAGGTTCAATCAAGAGACGCCAAGAATTTCGATATAAAATCCCACTCAATCTGGTTCCTAAAACAAAAATTGATAGAAGTGTCAGTGTAAAAGGTAAATTGAATTGAAACTTTTAGTCTAGTCCATATGTACATTCTGGATAGATGTTCTTTTTCTCCTGTTTCTTATTCCTTTGTTCACATCTATCTGAATTTATTTCTAGATTCTCCCACTTTTGAGAAAACGCTTTCCAGATCACCTTTTTGTGTAGAATTTTAAATACTTCATATAGAATGATTGCTTATTAGTATAAGTCCGATTGATTCTGCCCTTGGATTCACTTTCATGATCTCTCATTTAAATAACTTTTTGTTTTCTTTCCACAGGACATCTTATGGGTGAAGCGATTGCCACAGTCCTCAGTCCTAGTGGTCTTAGTCTTCTTACTGATCTGCCAAAGGGCAGTGCAGAGGCAGAGTTTATGAGTATTGCCCCAGTGTTTTATGTGTTTCGCTACTTGGAAGAGTCAAATAACTGGCATTTGCTAGGTCCTGAAACCTTAACTTCAAGAACTCAAATGAGGAGGAAGATGAAAGAAGGTAGAAAAACATAATTTCTTCTCTTGCTTCAGAGTTGTAGAGGTGCATGAACCTTGCTGAATGAGAAAGATAATATATCTGAGCAAACAAGTACAATTTTAATATAAATCTCTTTTAATAATTTATTTTCTGCCTAATATATCCCTTAGGAATTGTAAGCATCTTGTCATTCAGAAATTCTGACTTCTCATATAGCATGTGGAAGAACGGGCAAGCTAGCACGTGGTGAGTTAAAAAGTTCTTTGGATGAGAATGGATGGAAAAAGCTTGTTTCACTCCTTTGCTTTCATGTTATAACTAATTTTCAAAGAGTGATACTTTCTAGTAAGCATGAGAGGTGAGCTTGATGGTAGATTTAAATGGTGCTTACAACTTTGAATAATACCTTTTGATTCCTTGTTTTCACTTTCTAGACCTTTTATTTGCGTCTGCAGGTTGGGCCAATGATTAGGAGCATCTTCCTTAAGTTCTGTGCATTGGAAAAAGTAACCTTCTGGGCATGTAATGAGTTCATATCTTGAAACATGGAATCTGATCCTAGTTTAAAACTGAGTAACCATTGCCCATTTGTTAAATTAAATTCAAAATTCATCTGCAATATTTCTTTGAACTGTGGGAATGTGTAGCATAACTAAATCATAACTAGTGCAAATTTTTGTCCAGCCTCTAGCGATGTGGTAGTACTGCTAATCGAAACAAATACGATCTGTTTGATTTCCTTGGCAGGTTGACAGCTTTTGCTTTAAGGATTCTCGGACAAGTTAATCAATATATAAATCTTGATCAAATTTCTATTTGTAATTCCCTTCTATGGTTGATTGATGACTGTCAAATGCCAGATGGGTCATTCAGTGAATTTTCAAATTACCAACCAGTGAAACTACAGGTACGAAAACCAAACGTTTTCTGTGCGTACACACTAAAAGCTGAAGTCACCAGGAGGTAATGTGCTTTAGGAATGCAAGGTAAGTTTTAGGCTGCATTTTCACCAGAAGACCTATTCAAGATAATTTTACTACCTTTGCATTTTTCTGAATTAATTTAAAGAACATCACAATCTTGCAAACCTTTCTGTTTTCTCACTAAAAGTACCTGCTTGCCACTTCTTAATGTTTAGAAAAAAACATGTAGGTTGATTTTACAGTGTAAAGGCCCTGGGTCTGTCTCTTTTACAAATAAGTCATTACCCTCAAAAGAGTCAATGTATTTTCATGTTAAACCAAACTGATATTTCTCACAGGAATTTCTATTTGTTTCCTCATCTAAACTGTAAAAAAGTTCTATTTGTTTGAATTAACTGTTGTTTCTATTTAATTATATTTACATATTTGATTTTGTAGGGTACATTGCCTAGAGAAGCTAAAGAAAAATCTTTGTATCTCACAGCATTTTCTATTATTGGAATTGAAAAGTCAATTAAAATATGTCCTACTCAGGTAAATAATATTTTTTTCTTTCAGCAGTCATGTTCTGGGATTCTAATTTCTTCCATTTTCTTTAACATTTGTTCAAAGAAATCAAGAGAATCAAGAGGCTTTTTTTAATTTCAAAGATTAAGATGTATTTGCTTTGTTAGTCTTTGTCTTTCAAAATCAATAAAAGAACAATAATGAAATTCTGGATCACTTTATTATAAGATATATTGTAGAAGATACTATATATACCTATATTGTCTTGCTAGATGTGTTTCTTTAAAAATAAGCCTAATAGATGTAACCTGTATCCTGTTCATCTTTTCAGAAAATCCATGATGCTAAAAATAAAGCAGGCGATTATCTGATGAAAAATGTGCAGTCTGCTCAAAGCCCCTTTACCATGGCAATAACTTCATATGCTTTAGCTCTTGTGGATTTGAACCACCAGTCTGCACGATCGGCGTTCTCTGCACTGAAGAAGGAAGCATCTGTCATAGGTATTATTAAACTCTGAGTCTGTACGGTAGTTGGCTCTCAGGTAGGCTGTTCTTTTAGTATTTTTGAATTCTCTAGTGTGATGGCACTACTTGGAGAGTGAATTTCAATGATGCTTGCTTTGGCAAAGGTGAATTTTTAGTCTTGTGTGGCCATGCGTTTTTTCTAGATTGAATCCTGCTTTCAGCTTTTCGACAGTACAACTTCTTTATCAGTATGCAAGCCAGCTAGGCATCTGTCATTCCCCATTTTATCACATTTCTTCTATCTACAAGTTTTCCTTTTATGCAGGTGTCCATAGTGGATTACTTTTTTCTGCCTCCTCATCCTTATGATGTGTCCACTCTCTCCCTTGGCTCAGAGTGGAATTTTTCATTATATCTGTCACTGCCCTAGGTTTTGTTGTGTTGGATTTTCTTCTCAATTTCTCACTCGTTGATGAGGAACTTTGTAGTCTCCTGTGAACGCTGTTCCTTGTTAGTGTATTTTGTCACAGACAAGGGACTCAGACTATTCTCTGACAAGTAACTATTTCTACTGTAATAGGAAAGCTTTGTCATGTCTGTTGAAAGTGGCTTTGAAAAAAAAAATTAAAATCTGTATTTTTGTTTGTTTGGCTACTCTACCACTGTTCAGGATGAGCAATATTTGGATATGCATCAGATGTTTTGCATCAGGTCTGTTTATCATCCATTTCTAGTTTAAATGTTAGACTTACTAGTGTAAGAGAAATATATCTTCACCTCCTGTTAAACGCAGAGTGAGTTCCTCCTTCTCTCTTTGACCTGAGCAGGCAATAGTTCACCTTGTTTAGTCTGGAGACAGCTGTTGCTATGTTTCAATCTGAAACCTTCCTTTTATGCTTTTGTAGGTGACCCTCCTATTTATCGTTTTTGGAAAGATACTTTCAAAACTGTAGACCAACACACTCCCAACTCTGTTACTGCACAAATGGTTGAAACTACAGCATATGCCTTGCTTACCACTTTGCTAAGAGGGGACAAAGACTATGCTAATCCAATCATCAAATGGTTGTCTGAAGAACAAAGATATGGTGGAGGATTTTATTCAACTCAGGTGAGCTTTTAAATATTTTGTTCTCATTCTTCAAGTAACACAATCTGAGATGTCTTAAGAGGATAATATCATTAGAAGACCACATAGACAACTAGTCCTATGTATGGGACTAGTATCAAATGACTGTTAGTGTGCATGAATAGGCTAAAAATCAAGTGAAAGTTGCCAGATTTGTAATACACTATCAACTAATCGTACTATATAGAATATTGCAATTCATGCAACCTCCCTTTTTAAAAAATTAGTAAAAATCTGTGAAGAAACTGATGAGTCCTGTGTTTTTTTGTTGCTGTTTCCTTGCTTCCTTTTTAGTACTTGCATGAATTTCTGTAAATTGCACAAATACATCTATGCCTCGTAAGTGCAGTGTTGCTAGTAATGGTTGCCACTATTTGTAGTCATGCTTAAGTGGCAGTAAATAAATTGCTTTGTAATATATTTTCACTTCTTTTTAATTTCTGGAATTAATTCTTTACAATTTATTTCTGGCAGGACACAATTAATGCCCTTGAGGCCTTGACTGAATATTCCCTTCTTGTGAAGCGGCTGGATTTGGACATGAATGTTAAGATAGCATACAAAAACCATGGAGACCTTAATCTATTTAAACTGACAGAAGATAATTTCGTGGGAAGAACTATGACAGTGAGTAGTATCGCTGTTGAAAAGTGAAAGCAGAATTCTTAGCAACCTGCTAATTAATTATTTGAACTTTGAAATTGCTACTAAAATTACATTTTCTTTTAATAAATTGGTAGTAATTTGGTATAGCAGATGTTTAAGGACTTTGCTTATGCATTTGAATTTAATATCTCTGCTTGTTCCTATGAAGTTTTTTTTCGTAGAATCTGTTTGTAGCATCAGGCCTTAATATTTATGTAAAATGTAGAAAAGATAAGCAGATCACCTGACCTGAATTTTTGTTAATAGCCCTATCTTTATTGTTAACTTATAACTTTTTGTTTGGCATCAAACCTTTAGGTACCTTTGGATGATGACATATATGTAAGCACTGGAAGCAGCAGCGGCATAGCTACAGTAAATGTAAGCATGCAACCAATTTTTTCAAATAGAATCTCCAGTTTCTTAATATCAACATTGAAAAATAAATTGAATTTTTTTATAAACTATTCCATTTGTTGCCCTTACCTTCAGACTGAAGTGATGGATGTCATTTTGGCTAGATTTTAGATTAAGTACAAGCCATTGCATGAGTTATGGCTAATGTGAGAGGCGTTGTGAAGTTCCTTCCTTTTCATAAGAGGTTGTCTGTTCCATAAATCTAAATAGATGATCAGCTGAGTTTGAATACTCATCAGCTGTTACTCTCTCTGCTTAGACAACCAGACAGGGAAAAGCCAAGGTTGGTGATCAATTTGGAGAAGCTGCTCAATTCTCTGTTATTCTGGTGTTTACTCTTAGTTTATTAAGCGACGTCATTGAGAAACTCTTTTCTTGCAATATTTAAAGGAATAATTTTTGTATGCCTAAATATTAGGCTGTTGCCATTATATATTTTCTCCTAATCTTTTGTAGCATCTTCTAGCATCAAACTTAACATCTGAAATGTACATAGTCTTGTGTACTAATATTTCTATTCACAAAATATCAGGAGTTGTTTGGATAATATTTTTAGTCTTGTAAATACAACCAGCAGGAGTGGTGTGGTTTAGCTCAAGAATTCCCTATTTCTTTCTGTGCTATCATTTATTTATTCTGCTTTGCATCCATCAAAACTAATCATGCTGTACAGACTTGGTTTTGCTGGTATTATATTCTCCATATTATGAGTTTTCACAGTCTTACGACAGCTTTGAGGATTGTTTGCTGCTTCTGTTTTAATTTATTTGTCCATATATAGGTGAGGACAGTATATAGTACAATCGGTACTTCTGAAGAGTCATGCAACTTTGAATTGAAGATTGTTCCAAAGAGAGATGATGGTAAAGTGTTAATATGGTTTTAAATATTATTACTCAGGTCAGTGCAGGGGAGGGAGGGAAAAAAAAACCTCACTTTGTTTAACAAAATGTTTCTTATTAAAAATGAAACTGTAATAAATTCTGCCACTTTCTAAATGCAAAACTGGAAAATAAATTGCTAAAAGCCTTTTTAGCCCTTCTTGAAACTAAAGTTTCAAGCCTTTTTGTCAACAGAATTAATTTTTAATGTATTTCTGTTAGGTGCAGTTTTACTCATTTATGGAAGAGTTTTGCAGTTGGGCGACTGAGGAATACAAACTTCTAGCAGAAGAAAGAAGTATGATGGGGGTGGGGGGAGTTTACAGTGAGTTCTACGAAGTACTGAGAGTTCTACTCCAGTTAGGACAGGGTATATAACCACATTCAGAGCTTGTGCCATGAAGTCGTTTTAATAACATAAGTACACAATAAAGTATATTAAAGCTGTCATTTCACCAAAATTATAGAAGAAGTATAATGTTACTGGTTTCTGGATAGACAATGAGTTCCTATAAAAATAGCCACCAAAACAATTTGAAGAATTACCTTTCATTTATAAAAATGCTTTATGAGAATTTTGCATTGCTGCTTCTAAAGTGTTATAACATCACTTATGTGACTCTACTTGATGTGAAAAGGTTACACAAAAGAAGATGGTGAGCCACTCGGGCGCTTAGAGGCTTGTGCAAAGTAAGTACAGCTGATGGGGTTTTTGGTTGGTTGATTTTTTTTCTTTCCCCAGTGATTGAGCCAATGCTTTGCATTTGAAGGTTTCATTTAACTAAACGCTGTTTCTAAATGTCTTGGATTTCCTAACATTCAACGCTCCTCCTTGCAAAGGTGGAATTCCCAGCTGACACATTAAGGAATTGGAGCAGTGCAAAGCAAATGCACTGTCAGTCCATGTACGCATTATGACATTAATCTAAGAATGTTACAAATGCTTTCTGGTCTTTCGGTTTTTCTTAGCTATTGTTTTAATGTTACATTAATTTACGTACTTATATTAAATTTCTTTTTATTTTTTAAGATATTAAAATTACTTTGTTAATAATTACACCTGGTCTTCTGATCTTCTTTTCTTCCTGTTTCTTCACTTGTATGCATGTGTGTAAACAGAATTAGAACCAAAGGTCATGATCTTTTTGGGAGGGAGTTTTTCTTTAATTTACATAGGTGTTCTCCTGGAACACAAGGATTAATAAAAGCTTCTTCAAGTATGATATTGGCATAAATCTGAAATGATTTATCTGAAATATTTTGCTTCATCATGGGTTTACTGTGGTATAAATGTTGATAGAATTTTCCTTAGGTTTTTCTGGGGTCACACTTGAAGATTTCTTTTTGATTTCAGTTATGTTTAACTAATACTCCTTTTAATGTATTTTAGGTACAGGCCCAGTGTGAGAGAGCCACAATCAGGGTCTGCTCATGCCGTGATGGACATAGGTTTGGTTAGTGGACTGGATGCAAATACAGAAGACTTATCTACTGTAAGAGTTAAAGAACGTTTTTCTTTTACTGAAGTTTTTTTTTTGACAGAACTATGGTATTTACTGGTCTTCATCTTTTTTCTGTTAGAGTAGTAGTGCAGATTTGTATCTATATCCTCATTGCTTCTAAACCCATCTAATACTAATGAGAATAATCTACCTAAATCTAGATTATGGATTTTTGGTAGCATCAGAAGCTATAAATGTTTAACTTGTATAAAAGATTTCTCTCTGTTTTTCTCCCCTACAGCTTGCAAGTGGAGTTGATCAGTTGATAGCAGACTATGAGATAAAAGATGGGCATGTTATTCTGCAGATAGACTCTGTATGTTACCCTTTTCATAACTGTAAGCACTACTTTACCTCTTTGGAATAATTTTGTTTCATTTAGAGCTCCTTAATTCGTGTGTCTTTCAAATAGGTGCCAGCTAATAATTTCCTCTGTGTTGGGTTCCGAATAAGTGAGCTTTTCCGGGTTGGAATGCTAAATCCTGCCACGTTCACTGTATATGAATATCATGCACCAGGTATGTGTTCTATGTCTTCAAATTCATGTTTGTCTTTTAACTTTATTCCTCCTTAAAGACATTTTTCCTTCTTCAACAACTTTTTTGTCTTTGTTATTTTAAGCACAGGTAACTTTTGACTTGCAAAATTTCTGTGCTGATCTCTTGGACTTTGATTTTCTATATGCCTTTATTATTTCTTTTTGGATCTTCTAGATAAAAGATGCACTATATTTTATAACCCCTATGGAAATGAGAAACTTGTGAGATTGTGTGAAGGAGATGAATGCAAATGCATGGAAGGTAAACTTTTTTTTAAGATGTTTTCCCACATAACTTAGGAAGTGTAGTGCTTTGGACAAAACCACACTAAACACAAGGGAAAAAGTAGTCCTCATAAGAATACAGCTCTTGTCCTCTCCAAATTTTACATTTAAAAATTTTTTTTTTTAAAATCTGTGCAGTATGATCAGGGATGTCTGACTGGATTAAGTTCAGGTGATTGAGGGTGTTATTTTGTATTTTAAATATTCGTTGTTCCAGCATGCAATCCAATAATTACAGTGTTTTTCTGTTATAGTAGATTATCCCAAAGAGGTAGAGATTCATGATGTTTTATTTGAGGACATGTGATGACATTGTCTTAACACTGTTTTTTTTCCTGTCTCAATGTAGCTGAGTGTAGTAACATGAAAGAGAGACTAGATGGGTCAATAACGGCTGATACCAGGAGAAAAGCTGCGTGCCGGAATGATGTTGCGTATGGTAATATTTGAATTGTCATTACTTATTTCACCTACTCTGACTGAAATATTTACTTGTTTACTACTGCTGCAAAACATTTTGCTCCAATTAGATCTTTAGTGATTAAAATTCAGAAGGCTTGGCAGTGGCATACAGTAGATGAAGGTGACTTACTGGAGCAGAGAAGCGTAAGTGCTGCCCATCCCCTCTGATGAATAAAAGTCAGGTACCCAGGGTTAGTGCACCAGTGAGCCTGATCTGATGAGTTCTGCTAATGAGCACTGTGTTTCTCTTGCTGGGTACCATTGTAACAGGAGCATATGGCTTTGGAGTCAGAGGAAGGAAGTTGTGGGGCATTAGATGAGAGAGCATGGGTAGAACTTGTTAATGTTAGCCCTGCAGTGTATAGCTATAGCCATCATTTTCCCAGAAATTAGTATTGTAAAGGGACATTATATTCTCCATCTGAGCATCTGTAAGACATTTAGTATGTATTGCAGGAACAAGGGATAACAGAAAGTTTGTGTCGTTCTGCAGTTTATAAAGTGAACATCTTGTCTCGCAGTGAAGAAGGTTATTTTGTAAAGTATTCTGCAGCTCTTCTGGATCTCTATAAAAGAGGTGAGTGTCCTGTCCTTAATCCATTTAACAATTTATTTAGAGTAAAAGCTGTGTGGTTGAGACCACTGAAGCAGCTGACAAAAATCAGCGTCAAACCTAGTCATTTCATGAGAGCAGAAAACCACAGCCTCAAATACAGCCTTTGAGAATTCTTCTGTGCCGTGAGAAGGGCAGCCTTGGTTTGATGCTTTTAAATAGCTTTTCTGGATTATAGCTGTTATTAACAAACCTAAACTGTAATCAGTTAAATGTCTTTTATGACAAAAGCAAGGTGAACGTATTCCAAAATCAATTAGTGCAGTTGCGAGCTGTTGTTTAAATGTCTCGTTCATTCCACAGAATGCCCTCCCTTCCTGTATATACAACAGTTGAAGTGGGGTAGCATGCAAGGGTGTGCCGTGCCTTAACTTCTCTCAGGTTTTTGTAGTTTGGGCATGTTTCTGCTTCTGGGAGAAAGGACTTCAGAATGTTCTTGGGCACTCACTGACTTACCTTTGGGAGAGGTAGCTGCTCGTTGGTCCTGTGGAACTGAAGCTGATATTCATGCATTTTTCCTCTGAGCTTAAGCACCCAATATGTCCTTATAATTACTCTAATATCAAATTATTTCATGTGCACAAAGCCTATTTATCATTCAGATTGAATTAAAAAAAATCTTTCACAAGAAACATGTTTTGTATCGTCAGATTTTCTTGTTATATAACTAGTGGCACATAGATCCCTGCTGTCCTGTCGAACGTTTTGGTGTTTTCTGTCTAATATATAAGTTACTGGAAATTCTCCGTATGAAATTTTCCAATTGTTGACATTCTATTTCAGGGCAGGCTTTTGCTCAAAAAAATAATGAAATAACCTTTGTTAAAAAGAAGACCTGTACGGATGTTGAATTGAGCCCAGGAGAGCAGTATTTGATCATGGGAAAAGAAGCCTTAAAGATAAGCATTGGTTACAATTTCAAGTAAGCAATTAACTATCAGACTATGCAGAGATTTAATCTTAGTGTGCTCTGAAGTGTCAAGCATTTGTATCTAATAATTCTTATGTAATATGTAATTGATTTAATTTTTTAAGCATTAGTTCAACCAATAGTGACACAATGTGTTTTCAGATGGGTAGATTTAAAACTGGATTACAAACACAAAGCAAGCAATTTCATACTGTAATTTTTTTTTGTTTGACATTTTCTTCCTCAAATCTTAGCAGCAAATTATCATTTTCTGTTGTCTTCTTAGATTCCAGTACCCTTTGGACTCTAGCACTTGGATTGAGTGGTGGCCTTCAAATACAGCATGTACATTTTGTCAGGAGTTTTTAAATACAATGGAAGATTTTGCTGAAGATCTCCTCATCAGTGGCTGTTGATTTACTTGGAGAACTATTAAATTAAAAATACAGATCAAATCTTATATTTTTTTAAAATTCTCAGCTGTTTAGAAATTATTTCCTGAACTTAACATTTATTAATAGTTCATCTTGAAAAATAGTCTTTGCTTGTATTTTATAGCCACATTCTTATAACTTAGTAATATTCAAAGCATGATTTTTAAGCTTGGATGGGAGACTAATGCAGAACACTGCAAAGACATTTGAAGTCAGATGAAGTGGATCCACTGCAAAAACGAACATGGAAAGTACTGTCTTGTGCTAGAATAACACTTAGAAGCATTAAAACCTGATGTCTTATGTATAAACATTACCCTTCCTTCATTAAAAAAAAAAAGGAAAAATAAAATTGTTTATACAATAATTTTGTTACAACTGTAATTTCCAAGCAAATTTTAAAAAATATCTATCTAACCTAGCACAATAGCGTCCAAGCACCTGGGACAAAATCCTTATTCTGGCCCCAGTTCCTTTATAGTGACTATTTTAAATGTTCAGTTTCCAACTTCATTAAAGTGCTGTAGTGTAAGAATGATAGAAGACAACTCCTAAAGGTATTTTAGAGTATGCCAAGAGCCATACTGAAGCCAGGTTCTCCTAACCCCGTTGTGCTTTTTCATTTCCCTTAGACCTGCAGATGACAATATCTTGCTCTTTTTACCTGACCTAGTATCCAGACATTTATCTTAACATGCTGGGTGATATTTTTCATTCAACACGTGGTTAGAGTAATCAATTTTCAAATAGTCCTGAAGATTGACTAGGTTTTAATAAATTTGTTTCTTCCAGCCCATGTCTGAAATGCAAAAATTTACTTTAACAGTGTAGTGAAACACTGAAATGTGTCTCAGACAAAGAACCCCCAGCCCCTGCGAAGGAAATGAAACATCTTGGAAACTTAGTTCATATTCTATAGGTTGAAACTCTTATGGGCAACTGAACTCTTTAGAAATTAATAAACTGAATTTATAATGTTAAAAAATAGTCCAGAAGACGTGAACTATACCTGGTGACCTTTCAGTAATGCAGTGATGCTTGTATGTGTTGAAGATACTCTCATTTGCAAAGCATTTTGGCATGGAAAGTTCTCCAGATAAATAAAAAATTTGATAAGAAGCTTTTAGAAATCTTATTTATGTATGAAAGGGAGAACTTTCATTACAAGTTTGTTGAATCTGCACAGGCAGGGATTATTTGTGAAGTGGCAGTGGTATATTCAGAGGATTGATAGTGTTTTCTAAGGAATTTTTTTCAGAAGAGCCAACAGAATGATTTGGACATGCCATGACAGTTTTGAGTCAAAAAGCATTTTTCTGAAGTGCTGCACAGGCATGCTGCAAAATCAAAGATATTTTTCATTAAAACCTTGATTTACAAATAATGAAGTCTCACAATGACTTTCCACTCATCTCAAACTTAGGAAGATCTTAAGGGGTGCATTAGCTTACCGAAGAATTTTTTTGCAAAGTCTGTTATGTATATTAAAACAAGTTGGGCAGTCTGCTACCTTGTCTTTCTTGTTTATGTTAGCTAGAAGAGTACTGATTGTTTTGCTTTATGTCATCTTGAAATCAGGCCTGTTATGATAAAAAAAATTAGTGTGCTTCTGAGTTATAAGATGTATTTTTAAATTAATACCAATATTCAGAATACAATAACTATTTTATAATTTGAATGTTCACAAAGGTGGAGCTGCCTGTGACATATTCCTCTGCAAAACCATTGTCAAGAAAATTTAATCTTTTCTTGATTTTTAGATTTCAAAAGTAGACATTACACCCTCTTGCAGCTGATTCAGTCTCTTAATAATTTGAGAAAAATCTCCTTCCACTGATGTAAATGTTGTTAGCCTAAGGTTAAAACAAGGCAGTGTTAAACCAAGTCATAAAAAGAAAACAGTCATGCTACTGCAGTGAAGAAACAAGCATGTGATACAGGGGAATCCCACTCTGAGAGAGATTATTACATCTCGTGTTTCCCCTTGCTGACGATGTGCTAAGAATTTCAGTCCTTCACCAGTTGGTAAGTCCTCTTTCCAGACATTGTTAATTATTATTTTTTTATAGGAGATATTTCAAACAATTTTAAATACTCTTGATGTTCTTGCATTTGGTGTTTCTTCTGATAGATGGTGGTGGTATGTCATCCATCTGTGCAGAGAAAAGAAACTATTTTAAAACTAGCAGTGTGTTTCTCACTGCTTGTATTTTAGAGCATATTTTGGATATTAACCCTGCTGTGTCGATAAAAATTGCTTGAAAGATTGTGATGGTAAATAACAATAGAGTAACTTAAATTACAATAATATTCAGAAATCATGTGGAATTATATTTTGTCAGTATTCTTAATGGAACTGATTTTAATGTTAATTTAAAGAAAGCCCAGGTATGTCCATAGCATTGTATTGCACATAAAACATTGATTTCCAGATTGAGAATGCTTTTTATCCTTCATTTTTACACCATGCTGCTTTATCTTAGAAAATTCTTTTGCCAGGAGAAATGACTCCCCTTTTCATTTAGGCATGAGTATTTCTTACTGTCTATGAAGGAATATACACAGCTCTTGAAACACTCACAGTTTTCGTCTGTGACAGAAACAGCAGAGGGAGCACAAGAACATAATTTTCATATAGGTCCCATAAATATTAGTACTTTACTCCCCCACCCAAAAAAACCCAGCCTCAAAACTTTTATGAGATGTTTTTCAAAAGTTCAGCTACTGAAAATGCTGCACTCATTTCCTAGTGGATGGAAAAAATATGTATTTTCATGTGTAGTGCCATAATATTAATTTAACGTCTGCGGGCAAAATTTTTTCTTCGTATCACCAAAATTATTTGGCAAAGAAATTCGCTTGCAGTCTCTGAGATCCTTGGGGAAATTTTAGATTTACCAGAGATGGTATCATAGTCAGGGCTGTGTGATAAAGTATGGGCAGAGGATGCAAAGTCTCTTCTGATCAGTCTAGAGTTCTGACGGTAAGAGAGTGATACAACCAATACGTCAGGGTGCAGTACTCATTTTAAGAATCACACAATTACCCCATTTTTGCCCATGGAGAGATGGGATATTTGAGAACTCTGAATGGGAAAAGTACTTCCATGCAGCTGCCTGTCTTTTATGGGCATAACATTGTCTAAATGCAGCTTAAAACCACAGAAATAAGGAAATTCAGCCTAACAACATTCTCTTTTTCTTGAATTAACCTGGGCATTTTCTGGCAAGTGCGTCAGGTACCTGGCAGCATGTAGTGTAGAGGATTTACCAGAACAAGATTTCTGAGGCAGCTCCCCTGAGGCTCTATTTTTAGGGCAACATATGGAATGATGCCTGATAGAGAATACCAATTATTGCTTTTTTTCATCTTTTAGCTTAATTTGGTTCATGCCTTCACAATTCAGATTTGTATGGTCATCATTTTTCCAGCCTTCTCATTGCTTTGGTTAGGTAAATTCCTACTGCAGTCCTTATGTTTTTGATCTGCATTTGAGTATGCTATTAGTGCCTGTTGATTGACTGTCAGTTTATTTTAGTGTCTGCCAATGCTGAATCTTTTTTTTTTTTCTTCAGGATTATCTTAACATCTACAGTTTAGCAGCAGAAAACAGCGTTGGCTTTAGACTAGAGTTTCTCTTCGTAAGAGAATATACTACAGCACCTCTGTGTTCAGAAAACCTACTGTCAAGCATCAGTGCATAAGCCATGAGTAGTTCAAATGCATCTGAAGATCCTATGGAAAAGCACACAAATAATGCTTATTCCACGTACATTTGTCCTCTGTGCAAAATGCTTCTGCAGAATCCAGCACAGTTGCCATGTGGGCATGGTTACTGTATGTCCTGCGTCCTCTGGTTATTAAGGTAATTCAATCATACAAAACAATCATAGTAAATATTTTCAGTATCCATCAGTCACTGAAAACAGAACTGTACTGCGCCTGGATGGGGTGTTTGCACAATATTTGTAACTCATGTTGTTGAAGGGGCTCTGACCTGATGGCTTGTGTGACCAGTGGCCACCTTATGCCTGGTCCTGGTGGACGAGCTGGAGGTTAAACAGAGTGTGAAGAGTCCTGCTCTTCTGCTATGGATCTTCTTTGCCTGCTGATATAAAATTATGTTTGTACAGCTTTGTAAATACATGCAGCCACTTCATATGCTCTCTGTGAAAGGAACTATTTTATTCCCCAGGTTTTCCTTTTGTACTCGTTTTTTGAATTCCTACATTTCCATTCCTGACACTAACTGATGCTATTTGTACGATCTGCTTTCTTGTTTTTTTTAAAAAAAAAAAAAAGTTAGAGTTCCTAAATAATGTGTGCCATTCGTTATTTGTATTTTGAGACACAGTAGACTGAATCAACGTCTCCTGTAACTTAGGTAGATATACAACAAATGTTACTTTGGCATTTGATGACTGAATTTGACAGTTAAAAAGCTTGCCTTGCCTCCAGGAAAGTGGCAGATGAAGGGCCAAATTTCCTTCTCACAGCTCCTGGCGCAAATCAGCTTGGTTCCCAGTAAAACTGAGAAGAGAGTTTGATACAAAGTACAGTTGCACACATTTTTATTTTCGTTGAATAGTTGCCCAGAAGCAGCACATCCAAGAACTTTAAAATTACTGTTTTCCCTCTCTCTTAGGAATATCCTTGATCCAGAGTGCTTAATATGTGGAAAGAAGATAGTCATAAATGATGCAATTTTTAATTTTGGCTCTGTGAGTATTTTTTTTAATCCTCCAAACTTCTCTAACCAACATAAAAAGATAACACTGTACCCAATAATAACTGGATATAAACCCAAATTGCAGAGAGAAGTACACTTAATGGCTTAGTGAGGTTGTCTAGGCAGCCTGCCTGCAAACATTTCTGCTTCTGAACTGTACAATATTGTTGTGAGCATAACTGTGTGTTATGAGACCTAATAGTGACCTTCAGAGTTGCTCCTAGTGATATGCACAGATAACCTCTGAAAGCAG